GTCCCCTGCTCATACCGGCAGCAGCCTGCAACCACAGCCCTGCGCATATAAGACTCCATATCTTGGCATTTCAGACTATTTTGTTCCCGCCCTCCCCTTCTTAATCCGCAGTCACTCAGCTTCGATCATTCCTTTCGACCCTCCAACCTTTATTTTTCATTCTTCCTGTTGCCTCACGCTGGGAGTGTGTCTTCACATTCATTCATTCATTTCAATTTCAGCTGCGTATCCGGTGTCTGTGACCGTTCCTTTCGTACTCTACTCTGTTCGCTCCTCGGTCTGGAACCACCCCTTCGAACGACAACTATAGTATTTTATTGAGAGCGACTCGGTCGACAGCACCCTTCGAACTCCCTCGATTCGACAACTTTTGTATCCGAGATCAAGATGCAGATCAAGAACCTCGTCGCAGCCCTCGCGGGCATGGCCGTCGTCGCCGAAGCCGGCGTCACCTTCATGGACATCGACTCTCCTCTGAGCGCCGCCTTGGCTAAGCGTCAGCAGCGTGGTGGAAACCGTGGTGGAAACCAGGGCAACAACGGCCAGAACAACAACAACGGAGGCAACAACAACGCCAACAACGGCCAGCTCTGCTTGCAGCAGAACGCCGTCCAGAAGGGTTCTCAGTCTGCCGGAACGCCCGCTGCCCAGCAGGCCCAGTCCGCTACGTGAGTATACCGAGCCCATCAAAGCCCGGGAAAGTACTAACCACTCTGGCCAGTGACAACGCCAACTTCATCAACTTCTGCTCCGGCTCCACTCTCACCGACGGCAAGCAGATCACCGCTGGATCTTGCAACGGTATCGTCATGGGCAAGATTCCCTCCAACACCAAGATGGTTTCCACCGTCCTGCAGAACCCCCCTCACAACGGCAACATTGCGGCCAACCAGGACTTTGACGTTCAACTCAAGGTCAACAACCTGGCTGCCGGTTCCTTCACTGATGCCCAGGCCACCTACTACTCCGCTCCTCAGAACGTCAACGGCCAGGGCCAGGTTGTAGGTCACGTTCACGTCACCATCCAGGACATGGGCAACTCCCTCACTCCCAACCAGCCTCTGGATGCGTCCAAGTTCGTGTTCTTCAAGGGTATCAACGATGCCGGTGACGGCAACGGCAACCTGAAGGCCACCGTCACTGGTGGTCTCCCCGCCGGAAACTACCGCGTCTGCACTATGTCTTCCGCTTCCAACCACCAGCCTGTTCTGATGCCCGTCGCTCAGCGTGGTGCCCAGGACGACTGCAACAAGTTCACCGTTGGCGGAAACGGCGGCAACAATGGCGGAAACAACGGAGGAAACGGCGGCAACAACGGTGGCAACAACAACGCCAACGCTGGAGGCAACAACGGCCAGAACGCCAACAACGGCCAGAGTGAGTAACCCCTCAGACTTCATGATTCTGAAGCTAACCACTGTGACAGACGGCGGCAACCGCGGAGGTAAGCAGAACGCCGGAAAGAGGGCTCAAGGCGGCAACCGCGCTGCTGGTGCGGGACAACGAGGCGCCGGTCAAGGAGGTAATGCCAACAACGCATAACACCTTAGAACCCCCCTTTGCATTTCGCACACTGAACCCAAGGCATTTTCATTTTCTTTTCCCCCTCTCTCTCCCCCCTCTCTCCCTCGCCCTCGCGCTAATACCCATACCCAAGCCTTTCCTGGAGGATTCCCTGGTGCTCAGAATGGAGGAGGCTTCCCTGGCGGCCAGAACGGTGGAAACCCGTTCGGGCAAGGCCAATTCCCTGGATTCGGTAACCCTGGTGCGGCCACTTCACAAACCCAGTCCGGACAGAATGCACAAGGTTCCGCAGATGCTAACACGTCCGCTCAGGACGGGGACGCCGCCAGTAAACCCGCCTCGTCGGCAACTTCCTCGGTAGCCTCGTCGGCAGCGGTGCCGACCCAGACCGGAGGCGCCTCCGGCAACTCCAACAACAACGCCAACGGTAACTCTTCCGGATCCGCTGGTGGCAAGGGAGGCGCAACGTCGAACGCAATCCTCGGGCTCGCGGCCCCGGCGGTCACGGACTCGGGCGATAGCAGCCGACCCTTCTCCGTCAACGGCAACTCTTTCATCTCCAAGGCCAACGCCGTGCAGCGTGCCTGCGACATTCAACGGAATTCCTGCTTCAATGCTATCAACGGTGGACAGGGTAACGGGGCTTCCACATCCGAATGCGATGCCCAGGTCCAGGCCTGCATCCAGGAGCTCTCGTAATCGAATCCCCTCTTGAGTGTTTCCCCCCATTTCTTCTGCGACGAACGACGACGACGATGACCCCGAGGATTGGAATATTTGACGGCACCGCTCACCCAACGGGGCTACCCTACCGACAATTACTTTTACCCCCCGATGATGGGTTTACGACAAAAATGTTCTGGTGTTCTTTTGTTTTTTCTCTTTGTGAGAGTCGTCCAACCTTTTTCGACGACGAATGGGTCTACACACAATGATGGTTTTATTACTAGACGAATCTTGGTTGCCAATGGGTCGTGGGCACCGTGTTGGTGGTTTTTCTTTATTTTTGTTGTTTACTCCTGGATCATGAAAAACCGTTTACCCCCCGATACCACACAACATTGGCAGAGCAACCCTCAACACCTCCCCGTATTATTGTTCTAATGTCCCCCCTCCTACCTCCTCGACGACCACCCAAACCGTTTTCATGATCGAAACCTTTCTGTACATTTAGAGGGAGTTGTTTTCTTTTCCGTTGACAGGATACGCAGCATGGCTTGGAAAGAAATGGAAGACACAATTCCAGTAGAGTGCACATAATTTTTTGTTCACTTTTTTCTTCGGTCATGTTTTCTTCAGATGCGCACTTGGTGATGTCTACTAACTTTGACGTGACAACTCCGAATGGGTGGTGGGCTAACTTCCGCCAACAGCCTGACAACCTTAATCCCACTTGGGTTGAACACTCACCTTCAGGCCAGCGAATCTTGGGGTGGCAGGAGGTATACCGAAAGCAACGACAGAAAGTGTGGTGGTGGTGTGGGATGCCCCAGTCCAAGCTGCGGCGTCTGATCATCGCCCTCTCGTCTCGTCTCCCTCTCTTTTCTGGCTGGCACTTTCACGCAATCCGATTATGTCAGCTTGCCATCCCGCGCAATTGAAGAATCCGTGCCAGCAATCTGAGATCTTGGCAGGTGTCGGGGGACGAGGGGGTGCAGGTCGCGGACCTTGGTCCGAAACACGAGGTGGTTTGTGCGTTGTCGAGACGGCGTTTCATGTGATTTTGCTGTGGTCCGGAGTTGGGACGGAGAAGCGGTGGTCTGTGACGTTGGGGCTTAGGGGGCAGCTGTTGACAGGGGGTTTAGGTGGTTTGCCGTTTGGGTGTGATGTCACGCTGGGCCGGGGGTCTAGATTTAATTAGGAGAATTTTCTTTAGAGGGCATGCTTAGCGTTCTCGGGTCCCCATTCCCCTTTTTCTTCAGATTGATTGATGTTTAAATATGGCCTTATCTCATCTTTCTTGGGTCGCGTCGCTGGATGGGTGGAAAGTGGGAGGTTGTTTTGAGGCGTGGGAAAGGTTTATTTTCATGACTCTCTCTTTCTGCGTCTGTCTCTTCTTGCTTCGCTTGCCATGCAACGATTGTTATGCTATGCTTCGAGTATGTGGTAAGTGCACGATAAGAGAACCCTCGCTACTCGGCCTCTTCTCCGTCTTTTCTCTCAGAGTTTTATTTTGGGCTGTGTCGCGATGGTGTGAGTGGGCTTTTCCCCCCTCAAGTTCCATGGTGGAAAAAACCTTCGAGTGAGGGCATTTCCGGCCGTTATCGCGGGACCCCGACGCGCAAACGAATTTTGAGTTTAGGGACTCTTCTCCGGGTCGCATTTCCGCGTTTTTCATCCGTTCTTCTTCCTTTCTCGGCCGCTGCTTCGCCGCTCGCCGAAGCGCGCGCTCCAGAGGCGGGAAAACCAGCGTTTTCCTTTTCGGCGGCGTGTGTTTTGAGTTGCGTCGATGGGAAAAGTCTCCGGTCGTCTTGGCGATGAACGGGAGTCTTGGAGGGCTGAGATGGGTGTTCGGTCGGCGATGGTTTGGGGCTGCATTCTCGAGAGCGGTCTTGGCGGGTTTGCCAAGATGAGGACTGGAGGGTTGAAGCTGGCGACGGTGTTGAAGATGACGAAGCGAGTCTGCGTCGACGGGTCTGACGCGTTCGTTGCAAATGCGACTGCGCCTGTGATGTGGCATGTTGGAAGGCTTGTCTGATGGCGATGCTTGGATGCTGCGATGGCGCTGTGCCGAGTTGTTTGATCCTGCGGCGGTGGACATGTCGCTTGATGGACCGTGTCGGGCTTGTTTGAATGCTTGAGGTTTCTCGCCGGTTCGATCTGGAAGTTTGGTTGTCAGCGGCACACCGTTGTTGGAGCTCCGGCGGTTCTTGGCGTTGATGGAGATCGGCTGGCGAGATTGCTGAATGGCCTTGCTATTGTGGGCGACCGAGCACTTTGCAGCTAAAGCTTCCATATCATTCTGAGTATCTTCTATCAACACGAAGACCGGCCTCTTTTCCAAGGTCTCGACATGATCGCCATATGTCGTTGGCACGTTATCATTCAGTGACTTATGGCGCTGGTACCAGTTCTCTGGAAACCCGGCTCCCTAGATCTTGTCGAGTCTGGCAGAATTATCCCTCATTTAGGCCTCTGACAATGGCTCGGGACGCGCCTTTTTGTTATACTATTGTTCAAAACCCGAGAGTTCGGGGTCGAAAATGCAAGTTGCGCTTCCGAAGCTGGGAAGGGGCAAAAGACGACTCTCCTGATGGTCCTTAAAACCTTTGTGAAAGATCTCTATTTTCAATCTCGAGATAATTACTACCCGCGGAAACGAAATAGATCTCAGTGAACTACACTTGCATTCACTCGGGCAGCCATTCATTCCCTCACGGCCCCGAACCCCCTCCATCTTCACATATTTGCCAACGTTAGGAACCCCCAAATTCCACAGTGGCGTGCTTTCTATCCAAGACAGCCAAGTCACCCTCTCAATCATCTTCGCCCTTCGGGTGCGATTTACCTTTCACTTGATCTTCTATCTCCACGCCGTGCACTACCTCGGTCTCTCCAGCTTCGAGATGACCGCCGCGCTGCCCCGCAACCCCAAACAGGACATCGACTTGTTCAAGACTCATCCCCTTGGTCTCCTTCATGAAGAAGAATGTGAAGATACTCATGACAAGACAGAAGACGGCGAAGATGATGAACGTCTTCCAGCCGATTCCGTAGATGATCTGCGGCGTGACGCGGGTGACTATGAAGTTGAACAGCCACTGAGTGGCGGCTGACTATCTGTTAGCTTGGCTGCGGTTTATAATTGTGTCTTCCCGAGAGGCTTACCGGCGAATGCAACTCCGTATGACCTCAGATGCGTCGGGAAGATCTCTCCTGCGTAGATCCATGGTCTGCGATTGTCAGTCGCCGCAACTCGCAACTCTTAACTCATTGAGGCAACTCATCCTGGACCCCAGGAACCCGTGTAGGCGATCACGTAGAGATAGATCAAGACGCACATGGCGATCGATGCCGAGGACACCACCTTGCTATCTTCAGGGGGATGAGTGGCTAGGACGGCAGCGAGGATGAACATCATGGCGGACCTGGAGCACGTCATCACGATTACCCAGCCATTCTTGAATACGCAACTCACATCCACAACCCACCAAGTGTATGGGCCCAACGCCTGCCAATCTTGTCAATGACGAAGAGGAGAGAGACTGCAGTGAAGATCAACTTCACGATGCCGTATATACCCGTCGCGAACAACGACGCATCGGCGCTCGAGACACCAACCGTCTGGAAGATCTGAGGGGCGTAGTAGCCGATGGAGTTCGTGCCGGTGAGTTGCTGCCACACCATGAGTGCGAAGATGAGCAGAAACCTGTTCCGCACGCCCGGCTTGAGGCACTCTTTCCAAGTCGACTGGCGCGCTGCCTCAGCGTCGACGCCACACGACACGGTGATCTCGTTGAATTCACTTACAACACCGGGGTCATCGATCGGCTGGTTGCGCATGTAAGCCAGAGAAGCCAACGCCTCCTCGTTCCGGCCGTGCTTCGCCAGCCAACGCGGAGACTCTTTCAGGGGAATCAACCCGATCAGTAGCAGGCCTGCGGGAATCAGCTGGACGCCCAAGGGGATCCTCCACTGTTTTGTTGTAGATGGCATGTTCCTCTCCACGCCGTAATTAAGCCAGTACGCAATACTGCTCCCCAGCACCAAAAACTCCTGGAACAGACCGGTGATACGGCCGCGGACCTCAGGCGGCGCCGTCTCAGCGACGAACACGGGCGTGATGGAGCTCATGCCTCCAACGCCCAGGCCGGCGATGACCCTGCCCGCGTAGACGTACTGCAGACTCTTCGGCGAGCCCACCTGGAGCGAGGCACCCAGGAGAAAGACGACAGAGTATGCCATAAGGGAGTAGCGCCGTCCGTACCGTTCGTTGGCGAGGGCTGCGGAGAGGGCGCCGAAGAAGCAGCCGGCTGTCAGGAGCGAGACGACGTTGGAGGAGACTTCGGCGACTTTTTCGTCGGCGAAACCTGACGAACCGTATGGGAGGCCGAAGTCGCGTTTGAAGCTTTCGCAGGGGAGGAGGCCGCCCATGACGCCGACGTCGTAGCCTGGTAGAGTTAGGATGGGGTGTTTGGGATGCTTGCGGGTGATGGGATCGAACCGAAGAGGAGGGAGCCCATGTAAGACACGGTTGCTAGCAGGTAGACTCGATAGTTGTGGAAAAAGCTCTTTGTAGGGCCTTGCAACGTTATAGCGAGCGCCATGACGAACAATGGTTAATTGTTGATGAACATACACAGCAGCTAAGAGGTGCGACGGGGGAAGTTTCACCTATGAAGTCAGGAGTCGGACTCTTTGCATCTATTGGATCTGTATCTAACTTAAATATTTCGTGAAATGTACATTTTCTCTGCCTCCTATCTTTTCGTGATACATGTCAACACCATACGTTCTCGGACGGGTGACATCGCGACTCCTGCGATACTCGACGTTCCGATACGCATATGAAGTCAATGTTGAGCCGAGTCAAGTCAACTGCAACCATTGCTTATCAGATACAAGATTTAGGATACAACGAGTAAAATGATTAAAAGCTGCGCGTTCTAATGCCCAAAGGGGTTCATGTCCCAACCAACTAGCAGGCTTCCTGGCTTGGAATGCAAGAAGAGAGTGCATCGTGTGCGTGATTGTCACCCCCCTTGTCAACGGAAATCAGATAAGGGATGCGCCGACGATCGATATAATGAAGTAAGGAGAGTGATGAGAATAGTTAGAGATAGGCAATACGTTGGAGCTCCTCTTCCGTCAGCATTGAATGTACATAGTGCGCGTGCAACCCCACGCAGCTGTAGCAGTCCGAGGATGAAGTCAACGGCATCGTTGCCCCGCCATACCATGTATTGTACCTTTACTGCCTAGAAAAGCTCAATAGGGAAATTCATCACACGGAACGAAGTTGGTTGCGATTGCAGTGAACGGGGGAGGAACGCGGGGTTGAGCTGCGGGCCGAGTCAGATATGACTCGGCTCAACCGCCGCTCCGCCCCCGCACCGCCCGAGGAACCAACTCGGCCGGGGATGCGGAACAGGTCAAGCCAGTCCGCTTCCGCGTTCGCAATGGCTTTCATATGCGCAGCACTGTTGTATCATCAATCGCGATGACCTGTTTACGCTCGTCAAGGTCCCAAGTCTTGTATACGCACATTGCCTCATTTCACTACTCCTGGGTTGACTTTGAACACGGTCTTCAACATGGCCAATCGCGGAAAGACTCTTGATGAGAAGGTCTTTAGTATTAAAGACCTGAAGGAGGAAGCTTCCAAGAAGCTTCCTCGGGCGTACAAAGGTGAAAATCTTTCGTTAAGCCGTGGATATCTAGGCTCATTCGTGAAACAGAATTCTTTAATGAAGGAGCTATGGACATGATAACGTAAGTTTTGCTATCGCTTAGCTGTTTTACAAATGTCTAACACGAAGTTGTAGAGTGCGGGACAATGAGGAGGCCTACAATCGCTACAAAATCAGACCTCGGGTCCTCAGAGATGTGTCCAACATTGACACATCCACCACCATCTTTGGCGTGAAGGTGGCGCTGCCTTTCGGATTCTCGCCTGCAGCAACTCACAAGTTGGCGCATCCGGAGGGCGAGGTAGCCACATCCCGAGCTGCTGCGGCGGCTGGCATTCCCATGGCACTCTCTGCGTACGCCACTTCTCTTGAAGATGTCATCGCGCAAGGCCAGGGGAACCCATATATCATGCAGTTTAGTATCCTGAAGAATCGAGAAATCACTAGACAGATCCTCCAGCGGGCGAAGCGTAAGTCCTACGGATGAAATTGCTGCGATGGTGCTTACTGACTCGGACCGTGAACAGAGGCAGGATACAAGGCCGTCATGATGACGGTGGACGCGCCGATGCTTGGACGTCGCTTGAATGAGTACAGGAACGCCTTTGGCCTGCCAGAAGGAATGGGGTATCCCAATATTGCCCCAGGAATGGACATGAGAAATCTCGTCGATCAAGGTCTTGACTTGACATATGGTAATAGAACATTCAGTACCCCAATTCTATGGAGATGCTTACTATCGTCAGAGGACGGTATGAATTGGGAGCAGGCCCTCAGCTGGATAAGGGAGAACACCAAGCTGGATGTATGGCTCAAAGGAGGTAACAAGGCCGTTTGTAAAGACTACAAAGACACCGTCTGACCTAGTTTCTTAGTATACACCGCCGACGACGTTGCACTGGCCATCAAGCACGGCGTGGACGGTGTGCTCATCTCGAACCATGGCGGCCGGCAACTTGATGGCGTTCCAGCTACTCTCGATGCCCTGAGAGAATGTGCCCCTATCGCAAAGGGGAAGATCAAAATTGCAGTTGACGGTGGTATCCGACGAGGCACTGACATCTTCAAAGCTCTTGCCCTCGGTGCGGACTTCTGCTTCGCAGGACGAGTTCCCATCTGGGGATTGGCAGTAAGTGCAAAAAGAAAATGTCACGGTGACTGTTCTCAAAAAAGCTGATGCATCCGGGATTAGTACAACGGATCTGAAGGTGTGCAGTTGGCAGTCAATCTGCTTCATGATGAGTTGAAACTAGCTATGTGTCTTGCTGGGTAGGTGTCCCAGACGAAGTTGATGAGAAGCAACACTGACCATTTTCAGATGCAAGACTGTCAAAGACATCAACAAGGGACATCTATCACTCCTTCAAGCCAATGGAGTCTTAGCAAAGTTGTGACCTGGAGTAATTGACTCACAGCGAGGCTGCTAGTCGAGCATTTCGCGCGGCAGCGTTTCGCTGAAACCTCGAATAACATGTATGCTAATCATAGAGCTGCATTCACTTGAACGGTTTATATGTAGTAAACAAATAGAATCTTCCACTCTCGATGATTCAATTCCCTTTATGTGGTCGTTGAGTGCTCACAAGAAACGCAGAAAGTCGTGTTGTCTGAGCACTTAGGAATAGTGTAGGCGAAGCTAGACACGGCGATAGGAGAGGCGGCGATAGTAGAAGTGCTACAACAGGGACGGTACTCATTAGTTCAAGAAACATGTTGGCTGAAGAGTTCACAAAGTACTCAGAGTTGTCCCTGATGGCCAAGAAGGAAAGCTGGCTGGGATGACACCTTAACCTATGACAGCATCGTGATGTGAGTGTAGGAACAAGGTCGAAGCAATCAGTTTCACACCTGAGCTTTCGTGAACTCACTAAAGTTTGCCACCCCGTCATATATAACCCCAACCCTACCAGAAAGCTCTCCGTTGCGACCTCTCAAATAATAAAAAGCTTCCTATGAAGAATAGAATACCACGTAACCGCCAAATATTACCTCGTTGATATCACTCTCAAAGTTTGGTAGACAGACGCCATGTATTCACTACCGACGCCAAAATCTTCTAGTCTAGTATCTCTCTGACCGGCGCACAATGTTGACAAGCTTCTGGCCCTTGGCGCATCTCTCCAGGTTGTAAACAAGTATCTTACGCACTCTCTCATAGTAATGATTCGAGTTTCCAGCACAGTGGGGAGCGATGATGACATTCTTGTACTTCCACAACTTATGCTCAGCAGGAAGCGGCTCCGGATCTGTGACGTCCAGCGCTGCACCTCTGATGAGGCCCCCATCAAGCGCATCGACAAGATCTTCGGTGTTGATCACGGCACCTCTTCCGGCATTAGAAACGTAAGTCTTCTTCTTGCTCAGCAGTTGGAACTGCTCGCGGGAGATCATCCCCTTGGTCTGGTCCGTCAAGGGCAGCGTGATGACCAGCAGATCAAGATCCGAGGCGAGAAAATCGTCTAGCTGATCTTTGCCGTAGAACCACTTTGATGGATACTCGCCGTTGGGGTCTCCTAGACCCGGCTCCGTGAAAGAGTCGTCTTTGCGGGACTCGGGTGTGAGGCGTGGGTGCAGGGTGTACGCGTGGACGCTCATCCCGAAAGCTTTGGCTACATGGGCGACTTGGCGACCGACGCAGCCGTAGCCGAGGATTCCCCTAGGTCCTGTTAGTTGAAACTCTGGGTGGTGGTATCGGGGTTTGGCATACACTCGCAGACCCACCGAATCCTCGGTGTCTTCATCTGACGGAGGGTCGATCCATTTAGACTCTTTTTGGTTGTCAAGGTATTCCGGAACTTTGAATGAATTAGCAGCTGTCGGCATGAATAGCTTCTTAGTAGGCCTACTGTGATGTTGGAAAGCCAGGAAAGTCGAGAAGACCCATTCCGCAATCTGAGGTCTGTTTCATGTAAGTCACGGTGCAAGTAGTAACAGCGTCGTGGCTGTGCGTTGGTTGCTTACGGGTGCGTTCCATTGGACGTGCAAAAGTCGATGGCTGTCTCTTCAAAGAGCGGCAGTCCCAGGATCTGGTTGCACCCAGCGCTGAGAAGCTGGCAGTACTTCAAATTCGGCACCATCTCTTTGGTTGGGAATGACTTCCACGTGAAAAGGATGGTCACCTTGGCCCATGTCTCCGGGCTGATGTCGCTCGGTAGTTCTGTTTGGTACATACCGATCTTGCGGGACTCAACCGGCATTCCGAGACTGGCAACCCAGGCCGGGTCCGGTGTCCATGGCATCAGGATAAGGAGGAAGTCTTTGGAGCTCATTTTGAATGCTTTAATTCTTCCGGAGATAGACAAGAAAATGCAGCAAGAAACGACGGCTATGTTCATTTTCGTCTGGAATTGAGGCTTATTTATGCGACTTGTCAACAGAGTTCGTTCTGACACTGGCTTGGCTTACACGGGTTGAAGGCACAGTTGACTCGGCCCTTGCACCATTTTGCCTTGATACGCCAGCACTACCTAGAGTCCCAGTGACTTCCAGTTAGTTACTTAGTACTCTCTCCACTGACGGACGTCCCGTGCCGTGGCTCACAGTCCCCTTCTATTTCCGCTGATTGTCGGTGGGGAACCCCCGCACTTCAGGAGGCCAATCTTTGACTCGGCTCTGGAGCTGGGCACCTAATCGTCATTGCGACAACGGCTTCGACGGGCATTGCCACTGAACGACATTGGAATTCTGGCTGCGGTATTATCACTTGCCACTTCGAGTCCATCTATTAGATTGATATGGCTTGCTTGCTTGAATCTGGACCTGTGAATGTGCATCCAGTGCTATCTTGACTATGAGGTCCTGTATGCCATCCTTGGCGATGGCACTAACTCAGTGTCACTATTTTCCTGTAACATAGCGCTTCAAGAACTCTTCAAGATTCTCCTCTGGTAATCCCAGCTTCTCATTCCAAAGGCCCCTTTTGGCGGAGTATTGCGCCAGCCCCCCTTTCCCATACACAGCACCTGCAATCAGGCCCAGAGCACCCAGCGGCTGCCCCTCTTGAACTTGAGCAGCACCATTTTGCCAAAGTTCTTCGACAGAGCCATGAGAAATATCAAACTTCTCTCGTGAGCTCCGGGTTCTTCAGGGATTTAGAGATGGCTCTGCCAACTTGGTTGAGGTTGGTGGCGTCGAAGGGAATGTCTCCGCCGTCGTAAATTGTGACAGTTCGGGCTGCCACGTTCCAGCCCCCGAAACCAGGGATCGCAAGGCCCCAATCGAACATGGCCCCGGAGACGATGGCAGTCCATGAGATCTTGTCCTGGTTCTTTTTGAGATAGTCAAGAGTGGCAATCTTGTCGGTAAGAAAAGGAATGATCTCCGGGGCCGATGGATCAGATGTGTCGACCCCATACTCCGAGGGGATGAAGACCTTGACTCCTGCAACTATGGCCGCATCTATGAGGGAGTTCTGAGAGGCCAGAGCACCGGCTGGGGAGATGCTTGACAGGGTGCTGACAACTGCGTCTTGGCCCTTGAAAAAATTCGACAGCGAGGCCTCAGAAAAGTCGCTCTTCACATGTGTGACGCCCTCCGGCAGCGATGCTACCGAAGTTTCTCGAGTAAGTCCAGTGACCTGGAACCCGTCCTCCAAGAGTGCCTTGATGGCGGAAGTTCCAACATTGCCACTTGCGCCAATGACGAGCACTTTTCGGATAGAAGTTGAGTTCATGTTGACGTAAGTTGAAGCAAAGGTACACAGTCAAAGATTTTGGGAATAGGATGATGATGCTCTCGGTTTGAAGATTGATCTAAACACGACCTTTCTGGCCCAATTTATATCTCTGAACTCGGCCTCGAGACTTTCCAGCTCGACTGATCCACATGAATTTTACTTTGCACGTCAACAAGTCACCACGAGTCAGAATGATTGAAGCTGATGGCGGTGATGGCGCCATAGGCAGAGTTCTCGTACTCAACTTGTCCAACGGCTTACAAATACCATGCTTTAGATAGTGATGATACCAACTTGTAAAAGCCTCAGTAGGCTTTTTCAAGCAAGTTTTGACCATCTACAACATTCCTGACCTGCAACACCTTACTAATCCCTGTCAGACTAACCGCGCACCGGGAGTTGACGACCGCGGTTCTGTTCAGTAATCAATTTGGCTTGCTCTTAGTGGACCAATTATTCGCATCAACCCCACATCGGCGATAACTACGATACTGCAAACCGGGCCACTGGCCAATATGTGATCTTGATCTTGTCAAATTAGTTGCTGCCGATGGGATAGAGAACGGCTTGGCAAAGTGTATTGATCTATGGCACGATTTTTCGTCCTGATCCGGTTCTGATTAGCAATACTCTCTCGGACCCAAGACGGGATGCATGTCCGTCGTCTCGTACTCGTATTCCGTAGCTGGAGATAACTGCTGGCGAGTTGTTCTTGCTGGGCTTGATGATTACCGAGATATCCTTGCCATTATTGGTAGTAATCAACGAGAAATCTACATAACTATATATAAGAAGCTGCTGAGGAACATTGAGGTGGTCGCAGTATCGCCTTTCAAGTCTTGAGCAACTTCCTCTTAATTCCTCACATACTCAATCATGGTCAGCAATCTTCAGGTCGACGTGTATGTTGCACCGGCTGCGCCCATAGCCACCGGCCACCCCGATCCGTCTAAAAGATGGTTCTCGCCCATATCTTGTACCCTCATCCACGGGCCAACTTCAGCTGTTTTGGTAGATACGCCGGCCACCATTGAGCTTTCCGAAGGCCTCGCTACCTGGATCAAGAAGACAGCCCCTGAAAAGAAGCTGCTGTACATCTACACCACACATCTACACGGAGACCACTTCCTCGGGAACCCCGTTATTCTCCGTCATTTCCCAGAGGCAAAATGCGTTGCCACTGCCTCCGTTGTTGATGGCATCCGGAAGCAATGGCCTGGCAGTCTGGCGTTCTGGGACAAGCTCTTTCCCGAGGGGCAGATCGCTGGCGACCAGCATATCCCCAACGCTTTGCCTGCGGATGGAAAGTTTCATATCGACGGCCACCTGCTCCAAGGCATCGATGTATCGCACTCGGACACAGATGCTTCGTCATTTCTTCACGTTCCCGACCTCAAACTCGTCGTGTGCGGAGACATAGTGTACGGGGATTGTTATCAATTCCTTGGCGAAGCCAATACTCCCGAGAAGAGACAGATGTGGCTTCAGTCTTTGGACCAGATTGCAGCCTTGGATCCTCATGTTGTCGTGCCTGGCCACAAACGAGCCTCCCAGATCGATGGATCATATCTGATTGAGGCCACAAGGGCTTATATACTGGCATTCGAAGAAGAGCTGGAGAAGGCTGAAAATTCTGAGAAGCTTGAGGAGGCCATGATTCGTCGCTACCCTCAGAGGTGGAACCGCTTCCTCCTGGAGCAGAGCTGTCAGAGGACTTGGTCGGCTCTCAGCTTAGAGGACTAAAGTCATTGATGAATTGGAAATGTTACGCATGACTCAATGAGAGGTGCACAAAGTGCCATGATCGATAACGAGTAACCAGGCTAGTGTTATACAATTATACTCCATCAGTTATGCCAGCCGCTTCAGTCTACTTACTTCGTCCGTCGTAAATGAAACCACACCCAACACTACTACCGGTTGAACATTTATGCCTCGGAAGCTGTGTGAAGGCGCCAAATTTGCTTTTTCGTGATTTCTTCTCGATTTACGTAAGGAGCTTAGCGCAGTCTTTTGAGCAATCATCTTCTGCTCGACTATTTTGAGTCTACGGCTAGGTACATATGCCAAGCTGTGACATGTCGGCGGTTCATCTGAACAGCTGAAGTGGGGAGCCTCGGCTGGAAATAGCTGCATATTTCATTGGTGGCTGATAAATCAATCCACCCAGCCCCCCTCACGACGCGTCTTCTTAAATTTTGCTCGAAAGTTTCTCTTTTGTCATTCAAGAGAAGTTCGGCCATTGCAATCATGAATCCAGAATTTTCTCTGCAGGAAAAGCTGCGCCTGGCCTTGCGCCTGATCTTCATCTGTAGGTTCAGCGGCTCTAATGTGAGATATCACTAACCGTGCTCGTTAGTTCCCCTGCAGCTGCTTGTGAACCTAGTGACTGTTGTCTCCGTCGCTTGGTTCAGAGGGCTACCCCTGCGGTTCTATGTTCTTGCCGCTTTTGCGAAAACCTATCTCTACAGTCTCCGCGCCCGTCAAATCCAGTTCGTCACGCCTGCGACGAGAAAGACGTACGACGGCTGGGTGCGCCGCAAGACACAAAATGCCAACAATGTCAACGACCGTGTCGTCCTCGACAGACTGAGCCACGATGTTGACACCCTCGAAGACGGCAAGTCTTTTCTGCTTTGGGTGGGAGACAAACGCAAGGCTAAAAAGGTTGTGCTTTTCCTCCATGGCGGCGGGTACGTCATCCCTTTGCTAGATGGGCATCTGGATTGGAGCTGGCGAGCCTACGTTACCGCCGGCATTGAAGAAGACGTCGAAACTGCCGTAGCCGTGCTCGAGTACACACTTTGCCCTGAAGTGAAGTATCCCAGTCAGCTCACCCAAGCTGCGAGCGCCCTGTCCCATCTCATCAAGGCCGGCTTCCAGCCCGGCGATATTGCTCTCGCTGGGGACTCGGCGGGTGGGAATCTGGTGGCACAGGTCTTAGGGCATCTGGTTCATCCTCACCCTATGGTTGCGCAGGTTCAGCTCGCCGAGCCTTTAGGTGGCGCATGCCTTGTGTCTCCATGGCTAAGCGATCGCACAAGCGATAATTCATTCGCTAAAAACTCCAATGTCGACTTGCTATCGTCGTGGCCTATTCAAAAAGCTGCGGGAGATATCCTGGAAGAGACTGGGCCGTCAGAAAATCCTACGAACCCCAGAAGCCGCGTCTTTTCACTGCACAAGCATGACATCTGGGATGGTGGGCTCAGCAAGGTTGTCAAAGGTTTGTATATCACCGCCGGCGAGCAAGAAGTCTTCCTAGACCAGGACGTTGAGTTCGTGGACAAGGTGCGCCGTGGTAATCCTGGGCTGCCTGTGCAGTTGGACCTACAGCCGAAGTATGCTCACGACTTCCTCGTCATGGAAGGGAATTTCAAAGACGGCGGGGAGTGCACGGAAGCCATGAAAACCTGGTGGAGGAGTGTGTTAGTACGAAATAAGGAGGCCTGATCGGTTCGGATTTGATCTTTAGTCAAGAATGTTTTAATGATGGCAGAGGTATGGTCATGTATGAACAGGGCAGATACTCTTGTTCAGATAGGCAGTCAACGACGCCCACTCAGCGCCATCAGCTTCTTGGCTATGAACTCACGAGCGGCATACTATGCGTCGAAAAGTATTCTACCTCAAATACTGATGGTAGTGGAACCCGTTCCACCTTTGACCCTAAGTAACTCTTTCCCTGGTAACACCAAATTGCCCTTCGTGTTCGCCGGCGTGCTCCATTCTACGACTGCTGTATTATTGTCGCCCACCGTGAATTTTGCAGAAAACTTCCCCAAACTAGTAGTGAATCCAGCCTCTGCCTCGGAAATCTCACTCAGCACGGGCTTCAGTTGCCATTCGCTGCCCCCTGGCTTGATAACTCTCAAGCCAACAAGGTACTCAGTCATGGTCGAGGTCGGCCCGCTGCTCCATCCATGGGCGTGAGACATGTATGTAGGATCATTCCTATAGCCTCGGTCTCCTCGGTAGCCCCATGTACCGTTCACCAGATAGCCCTCTGGGACGGTAGATTGAGTGCCGTTGGGATGGTTCAAGTACCAACCCCATGCATCCCTGATCAGACTCAGAGCCCGATCAGCTCGTCCAGCGCGGAAATGAGTTGAAAGCTCAATGCTGGAGATAAATGGAGAAATGTTGTTTGTGAGTTCAGGGCAGCGAGGCCCAATAGGCGCCCAATTCGACTCGAGATAGTCCGATATTTGTTGTGCCTCAGCGCTGTTAGCTGACACAACGCCGAAGGCAACAGCCATGCTGTTAGCATCTTGAGGGTATAGAGATGTGTCGTTGGGGCTTTCCTTGAAAGCACCTTTGCCACTATCCCAAAGATTTGCCATGATGGCACCCTGGAGCGTAGCTGCAGCATTCAGCCATTCTTGTTTGTAAGTGGACGCATTGGTGAGCTCGGGTGCCCATGACGCGATATCAGCTCCGGCCTTTAGTGCACGGTACAGGCTAAGTCGATTAGCAGAGCCAACACTTTTCGAATGAGAGGTTCACTCACAGCATGCTTGCTGAGCTTCGCTCGTTCGAATATGTCCAGCGTCCCCAGTCCTTCTCTCCGGTAACAGCCATGATACCTTTGGAGTTGATTTTTGCCCTGCTGTTGGCAATAGCTTTCAAATACTTGGCCCAAATGGACGTCATGTACTCTTCGTCTCCGGTATACAAAAAGTAGTTGTACGTGCCAACGAGCGCCCACAGATGATAAGCTGGCAATGTTTCCTTAACTCTCCGCTCTTAATGCTTGCATTCAGATACGGCTGACTTACTATCGCTGTCTTTTGAGGGATAAGGAGGTCCGGCTTTTGGTAATGTACCATCTGATCCCTGTCGAAAGTCAGATAATGGCTTTGAACGAGACGCAAAGTACTGACTTGATTGTCGTAGATTGCCTGCAATGCGTTCTTGGTACTCTCCATGTCGCCAGTGCTCACAAACGCACTCGGCACTGCTGTACCCATGTCTCCAATCCAAACCCAGCGATCCCT